TAAATCCGAAGAAATCTCGCGGACGGTTTATTATAATTTATTTCAATGAAAAAAATTATTCTTGGAATTAACATATTATTTGGTTCGATGAAATTTTCTTCTCAGCGTAGAAGTGAATCTCGTCGCGCAAGGTGGACCATCGAATCGCGCTCGTTTTCCTGATTGTTTAAAAAGCTTGAAAAAATTATGGGGTTTTCTTGCAAAAATGTGTCCCTGGCGAGGGGTGATTACTTTTGTATTTTTTATTCCAATGGGAAGTTTCTTTCGCGGCCATGTTGACTCTCTTCAAGGTGCGACAGTCTACGCCTCGCCTTGGAAATTCCGCCGAATCCCTCGGGAAATCGGGCCGAAATCCCTCGGATCATTTATTAATCTCTTGTTTACCAACCGGGGATAATTTTCTCCTAACTGCAAATGTCATACATCATGGATGGGTGTTACGTACCCTGTTCCAGTACTCCGACCGCGGGCATTCCTCCTGCACGCGACCTCTCGGTCGCCTTTGAGTTTCTCCGCGAGGCTTGGGAAAATTTTACGACATTTTAGAAGAGACTCCGCTCGTTCCTTTTATATACTTAACGGGTCGTTACATTATACCGTGTTATGCCGTGTAACGCTCATGTTACAGGCACTTCCCTAAGTGGAGATTTTTATTCATTTAACGGCCCTCACTTAGCACCGCCTCCGGAAGTTCTGCACCTTTAAACACGGCCAGGAATTAAAAGTCATTAAGGTGAAGTGAAACCCCCTTCAAATCAGTCGATTCTAATACAACACTTTTTTTTAAGGGTAAAGACCAAACTGTCCGAAACTTTGACACGTCACTCCTGATCATCTTAGAATTGTCCTGACACATTGAAAATTTGGATTTTTGGAAAAAATTTTGTTAATTTGACAGACCAAAACCAAAATGGCGACGAGCTCTCATATTTCGATCGATATACAATTATCGAAGGCTTTGATATGTGCCCATAATTATGAAAGTGGTCTAAGTCATATATTTGTTTGTTTCGAAATTATGTTGAATTAATTTCGTTTGAAATAATATGGCGTGAAATAACTGATAAACTCATTTTTTTTTTACTTTTGACTTAGACCACTTTCATAATTATGGGCACATATGAGAATCGAAAGGGTCAGGACAATTTTACGAGAATTTAGAACACTCTGGTAATTGATAAATTCGCATTTGAACGGGATAAAGGCAAAAAAAGCGTTGTATGCGCTTCTATGCCAAAACGATAGTAATACAAGGTCTCGGAGTGAAAATTTAATTGACCTGGAAATCACAGATGGCGCAGGGGGTCCCTCCGCAGTCAATTAGGGCCCCAGAAAGCACGAATCCAGAGGATTTCTGGAGTTTTACTTTGATTTCTTAATAATTATTGTAGGAAAACGACAGGTGGAGTATGCCATTTGGTGCAATACCCAATATAATTCGACCCAGCTGTCGATATAAAAATGAACATCGGCAACGTAGGCATTTAGAAAAATCTCTATCGACGTCGATCAAGTTCCGCGAGGTGTTTCACTTCACCTTAAGTCAGTCAGGATGTTTTTATTCTCCCCGGTCAATATTTCCCTCTAATTCCGTAGCATAAATCGATCCTCTGGGGAGTTTCTCTCCGGCTACCTTTTTTCCCCCCATAAAAATAATGAGAAAATACCAGGGGGGCTTCCTCGATTACTAGCTGTCTCTCCGGTTAATGCCTCTCTTTAATTGTCGAGCACGTAACCGATTTCCTTAGGGGACCTCGAAGAGAGCGACCCCCTTGCCATTGGCCTCGCGAAAAGAAATTCTACATTCGGCACGACCGCGGCGTCTGACGTCACGAATTTCACCTGGTTTCGAAGACACTCCTCGCGTACTCTCTCCGTTGGTCGTGACTCATTGGTCGGCTTTTACCATTAAACCATCCCGTGGAATGTCCCGAGGTACCACGAACTTGACCCATGGGCTCGTCACACTTAAGGTGAAGTGAAACACCCTTCAAATCAGTCGATTCTAATACAACACTTTTTTTTAAGGGTAAAGACCAAACTGTCCGAAACTTTGACACATCCCTCCTGATCATCTAAGAATTGTCCTGACACATTCAAAATTTGGATTTTTAAGGTGAAGTGAAACCCCCTTTCAAATCAGTCGATTTCAATACAACACTTTTTTGAAGGGTATTAGACCAAACCGTCCGAAATTTTGACACATCCCTCCTGATCATATAAGAATTGTCCTGACACATTCAAAATTTGGATTTTTAAGGTGAAGTGAAACACCCTTCAAATCAGTCGATTCTAATACAACACTTTTTTTTAAGGGTATTAGACAAAACTGTCCGAAACTTTGACACGTCACTCCTGATCATCTAAGAATTGTCTTGATACATTCAAAATTTGGATTTTTAAGGTGAAGTGACCCTTGCACCCTCAGAAGTCTGCGAGCTTAATTTTACATTTCTCTAATGGGTTGTGACATTAGTTGGACATCGTTTTTTTTTTTTGGATGGATTTTGGGATTTTCGGAGTACAGGTGAATTTCTGCAGGTTACTGGAGAACGGAAGTGGACGACATCACCTTGGACAGCGTTTCCATGGAGCAGGTGAAATTCAATGGTTGACCCTGAACGTGACTCGATGAATCAGGTCGCTCATGATTCTCGAATAGTAATTCCAGAGAAGGAAGAGGATGCTGCCGAGTAGCTGAACATTGTTTTTTTTTTTGATGGATTTTGGGATTTTCGGAGTACAGGTGAATTTCTGCAGGTTAGTGGAGAACGGAAGTGGACGACATCGCCTTGAATAGTGTTTCCATGGAGCAGGTGAAATTCAATGGTTGACCCTGAACGTGACTCGATGAATCAGGTCGCTCATGATTCTCGAATGGTAATTCCAGAGAAGGAAGAGGATGCTGCCGAGTGGTCCAGGGTTAATGGATTTTCATGGGACGTTTTGGAGATTTTCATTTTTCTCAGATTTTCGATATTTTAGACAGACCTTTGACCCTGCTCTGAATTCTGAATCCCGAGCACGAGGAATCCTGCTAGTCAACCTACATCGATACCGGAGACGACTCCAAACGGGAGAAACTAGCGTCTTCTATCAAGAAATTTATCTCGCGAAGTGTACTGGAGGAAAGATCGAGGTCACCCTCCTCTTTTTTTCCTCCCTCCTCCTCCTCCTTTTTTTCCATAATTTCATTTCGGCCGGAAACTCAGCGGCGCAAGTAATATCGACCCGTTCAATCATTTTTCGAAGGGCTATATTTGACCTAAAGGTCAGCAAGCTACCTACGACATTTCCCTCCGTACCTTTATCCAAAAGGTCCACCCCAGAAAATCCAGAAGGATCTAATGACGTCACGTCTTCCTATAAAAAACACCCACAGAGACTGTGAAACTTCATCCTGCATTCCCTTAAAAAAAAAAAAAAAATTCGACTCGCTGTCTAACGCATGGAAAGTAATTAAATTCATTACAAAAGATTTTTAAACCCCGCAATAAAATCGATTTCTTCTCGGATCACCTTCGGGGAGTTTTTTACAGTTTTACCTGGGAAGCAGAAATTACCGACATAGGTTTTCTTCTTAATCCCTGATATTTCGCACGAGTCGCAATTCCCAGTAAATACGTTCTGAGAATATAGATTTATGTGCAAGGTCTGTTAACTGATGGCCCGACACGCGATTCCGGAATAATTTCTAAATCCTCAAATCGATCTGCGCATATTTAGTTTGCCGGGTAATTTCAAACGCGCCGTAGAGCGCGCCACCAGTCCGCTGTAACCCTAACAAGTCGGTAATATTTCGAAAGCTGAAATAATAACGAGAAATCGTTTATTTTTGTACACCTCGCGAGATGCAAATCCCGGTAACTGTTCTCCCCTCAGGTGGAAATAATTATATCGGCAGAAGCACGCATCGCGACGCCATAATTACGCTTAATATGGCGAGACGGTGGAATTATCACGCAGGTGCACATTTCCGCATAATCGTGCTAACAAGTACCCTAATAATGACTATACAAGCCCCAGGTGACCAGAGGACATGAGGATCTCGATTTAAGTTGCCGAACTCGTCCAATAAAAATGATAAAAGTGACAAAAAGTGACCGAATAGCGATTATGAAAACATGGCGGCGCATCACCGCCACCTAGGTCCTCGCGGACGAACAATCGGGCTCTAGTAAGCGACATATCCTTTATTGATGCATGAACCCGGCCTGGAAAATCGCAAATGGATGCGATATACATATCTACACCGTCTTACTGGGGATTGGAGGAGGATCTTCAAGAATCCTAACGTTTCCTCGGGTTACCGTTAATAAACGTCAGCGCCTCCCCGATGCATTAGAAACTGGTTGTCGACGGTGCTGCCGGTACCGTTGTAATTCCTCAAACCGGAAACGGTGCCTAAGTGGATCACAGTAAGCGTATGCGAGCCCTGAAGAGTCCCCAGAGAATCTGAAGAGAGCAAACCCGGGACCCCGAATCGGTCTCACTCTACACCTCGTTTGCTGTACATTTATTTCACTCTTCCCATGCCACGCTCTACCTCAAGGAGACCCAAGTCATGGCGTGACAAAAATTCTTACAGCATCGGGTCGTCGATATTTACAGAGCTCGCGACATCTCGCGAGAAATGCGTGAATATATATATATTACATGATATATGTGTCCTCGCGTACGTTTGCACATGTATTCTCTTCTTCCTACCTAGCCTACTCGATTCTCCTAACTATCTTAAATTAAGATAAATTAAATTAAATACGACCTCCAAGAGTTCGGCTCTCAATTTTCGCACTTTTTTTTCCAGAAAGTTCTGTCTTTCAAGTCCACTGGTTGAGCAAGGTCACGGCCTGATCAGCTCCGATAGGGTCCTGAACCAGGAGATCCCGTCTTATCATTGGATGGCACCTTATTTTCGGTGATAAGAGGACATGGACACCCTTCAGAGCCGCCTTTAAAAATTTCACAAGGGACAAACTCGCTTTCTGCGGCTCCGCCGAGCAAGATCAGCTGATTTAGTAAATAAAGTCCAATTCCCGAGATTTTCGGAAGTCTCGTCCTTTGCGTCGAATTTCCTGCCACGTGCGGATAACGAGGTCCTTAGGACGTAGCGTCGAGTTCGATCCTAGATCGGCAAGGATCCCAGGCCTCAAAATTGCAGGATTTGGTTAATCCACTCCCGGAATTCGGAAATCCGGGTGTAAACTCCTGGTTGATCCGGCTCGGCGCATCCTATTCCCCAGCTGATGACTCCTGCCAGGATCCACCGCTTGTCCTTCGGCCTCTGGATCACCATTGGTCCTCCGCTGTCACCCTAAAAGAAATAAAAAAGAAATTACCACCACGCTCTAGAAACCCTCCAATCCATCTGATCCTGAATTTAGGAACCTCGCAGGAGTCGAATCCTCCTTTTCGCCAGCCTGCGCAGATGAAGATGTGCGGGATGTGCTCGACGTATCCTGCGTTCCTGTACATGGCCTCGCAGACGGTGTTGTTGATCACCGGGACGGATACTTCCTGGAGAACCGAAGGTAATGGTCCGTCTGGAAGAATAAAAAATAAAAAAAAAAATGCAGGACTCTGTCCAGTGGAATAATTAATATATTAGACGTTGGAGGGCATTCCTGACCATCATAGAGACGACCCCATCCGGTTACATAGGCAGTGTGTCCCACGTAGTTTTCGTCGTCTTCCGGCAAGCAGATCGGCAAAGCGTTTGGTTGGAACGGTAACAATGGCTCGTAAAATCTAAGCAGAGCAAGATCGTACTCAAAAGTCCTAGGATCGAACTGAGGGTGGCTGGCAACGATTTGCACCCTTCTCTCCTGGTACCCATAGGGCTCGTTTTCGTTGGTCAGGTCGTGCTCCCCGATCCTCAGCAACAGGTCGCTGGGCGTCACGCTGAGGGATTAGAATCGATATTATAAAAGTCCCGATCGAGGGAAAGTAAGGTGAAGAAAGCGGTGAAAGGCTTAGAGGAAGAAAGAGGACGGTGGAAAGTCCAGGAATGGCCCGAGACTTCTTCCAAGCTTCTTTTCGACCCTGAAGAGCTCTCGGTTCCCGTTCGCAGAGTGCAGCTGCTAGGATCACGGCGCAATTACGAAACTAAAGACGTGCATATTACCGGTAATAAAACTTTAAGGCGCTCTTCAGGCTCGTTCGCGGTAATCCTGCGAGCCGAGGTCGGGCTGGGAAAGGAAATCCAGAAGGTGAGGAACTTACGCCGTGAAAAGGAGCAAAAGAAGATGGATCAAAAAGAAATATTGATAACATGAAAACTCACTTTTCCACACAATGCGCAGCTGTGATCGCCCAATTTTCGTTAAGTAGAGCTGCACCACATTTGTGAAGGTAGGTCGAGGTCCTCCATTGACGCAGAGATATCTGAAAAGGAATATTTATCCGTCTTATCCGTATTTAAGCGTCCTAGGTCCTAATCGGGAGCCCGGTTTTTCTCGTTTCTCCTCTCAGGACCGTTTCCAGCAAACTCGAGCGCCATTTTACCTTCATTACGTAATATGTACGCAATATATACGTATGTCTAGACGTACCTGCCAGGGCCATTTGCCAAACGAACTGTGGTCTCCGCCGACGATCCTCGACTCTGGGAAGAGACGCCTACCGCAAACTGCAAGAAGAAACATGGTCGAATTCAGTCTACTCGATAAATTTTCCCTCCCAGGGGCTGCCATCTTCAACGGAGCATACTGAGACACGAGAGTGCACATATGCAAGTAAATGCACCATGTACATAAGACCGGACGAACCGGTACAACGTTATTTACGTCCAGCCAAGAGCGACTACGAATTCCGGACGATGCCCGAATGGTTCGCTTAATGAACGTTAAAAAAAATCTAGAAAATATGAATTAATATCGGGACGCCACCTTGCTTGTAATTAGACATGTTAAGAGCCGCAGCAACTGGTGGAGCCTCGGAAGTCATCATCTCTAAGGTGGAAATCGTCGAAGATGGCGTCGTCGTTGTGGGACGCGGCGATGTCACTCGCTCGGTGGTCGGTGACTCCGTGGAGGTCGCTGATGGAGAAATTAATAAAAAATGGAAGGATTAATATTTTAAGGAGACTTCATTAGGGATTTTTGCTCCTTTTCTTAGGTTACTTTGCTCACCAGGAGTCGGTTTGTCGAGAGGTTTAACAGAAGGTGGGGAAGGAGGAGAAGGTAACTCCTCACTTGGCGAACTCCCAGGAGATGGGATCATGACCCAGCCATCCGGCGTCGTGATCGGGGCCCACTCCGTCTCTGTGGATTCTGCGAGGACAATAGACTGGATATTAAATTCTACATTGATAAAAATCCCCATATAAAGTTATATAAATTTATATCAATGTGTAAACTCGACTGTCTCTATTTTTAATTGAATTTTATGACGCTCTGTAGCTTCAGGAAAATCCTCACCTTCGGGCGTGACCGTGCTGGCAGTGGTGGACGAAGGTTCCGGCACCCTGGTGGAACCTTCCTCCGTGGTGAAGGTCCAGGTGACGAGACCAGGACTCGTCGTCAAGGTACCTTCCGAAGAGCTCTCCTTGGGGGGTAGAACCTCGTTTATAAGAGTAGTTTCGTTGGTGACCTGAGGTGTGGACCAGGTCGTGACGACCGGAGCCGAAGAGCTGCTCACTGGGGTTTCCGTAGTGGTACTAGAAGGCCTCGGAGAGATTTTCGTAGTTTCCGAAGCGACGTCAACGGTATTGCTGGAATAAATCTCCGAACCTTCGGAGCTGACGTCCCCAGGTCTCTGGGTGGTGAACGCTGGAATCGCAGGTTTGGGAACCGTAACTGGCCTAATCGTGGATTCTAACTTGGTTTCGTTCCTCTTCAAGGTCTCCTCCGAAATCGTCGAAGGCAACGATGTCGGGGTTGTCGAGGTGGTGGAAACTGGGACAGAGGAAGTCGGTTTGGAAGTTGGGGGGGCTTTAGAAGGTGGAGGTCTGGACGTGGTTTGGGTCGTGGTGGGTCGAGGTTTCAGGGTCGTGGGTCTCGGCTTCGGGGTTGAGGTAGGTCCAGGTCTCGAGCTGGAAGAGGTGGATCCAGGTCTCAAGGTAGAAGAGGTAGGTCGAGGTCTGCTGCTGGTCGAGCTCGTAGGTCTAGGTCTAGGAGTCGTCGTAGGTCTAGGTCTAGAAGTCGTCGTAGGTCGGTTCTTGACGGGGACCGAAGGTCGTGGTTTCGTTGGCGTTGGTCGTGGTCTCTGAGACCCTGAAGGCCTGGGTTTGGTTCCTGCCGAAACTGGCCTCGTGGAGTTGTAGGAAACCGAGGAAGGTCGCGTGCTGGGCCTCCTGGTTGTCGTTTTCGTCGGCCTTACGGTCGTGGTGCTCCTTGGAGGGAACCTGGTGACCGGTGGCGAAGGCGACGGAGTCGTGGAGAACGTCGATCCTTCTTGACTTGTCTGGAAGGGTTTGGTCGTCTCCTCGACCTCGGGAATCTTGCTCGTGGTGTGGTGAATTATGGGTCTCCTGGTCGTCAAAGGCGAGAACGTGGGGTAGGTCGAGGTCACGGGCCTCTGAGGTCGGTCCGTGCCCTGGGGAAGCTGAGACGAGCCGAGAGTAGGTTTCGTCGTGATCTCCGTCACATTTCTGACTACCTGGAAGGTGGACAACCCGTACGGCTGAGTAGTCGTCTCTGGAGACCACGTTGGTTTGATGGTTGGTGGTCCAGGAACCTTGCTGGTGGAAGATCCAGGGAATTTGCTGGTCGACGATCCAGGAACCTTGCTGGTGGATGATCCAGGGAATTTGCTGGTCGACGATCCAGGAACCTTGCTGGTCGATGATCCAGGAACCTTGCTGGTCGATGATCCAGGAACCTTGCTGGTCGACGATCCAGGAACATTGTTGATCGACGACCCAGGAACCTTGTTGATCATAGATCCAGGAACCTTAATGGCCCCGGTACTCGTGGTACCAACAGTGGTACCAACCCCTGGGGTACTTGCTCCCAAAGTCGCGACTCCATCGTCTGTACTCAAAGTACCCAACGACCCCTGGGGGTGCTTTTCAGGTTTCAACCCTGGTTTAGACTGAGAGATAGGCTCCGACGTAGGTTTACTCTGAGGTACCACTTCGGGTACAGGTTTCGTCTGCGTCGTTGATGCCGATATCGGTCTCGGAGGAATCGTCGACGAGGAAGGTCCGAACTGCGTCGTCGACGTGGACGTTGGTTTGGGCCGAGAGACCGATCCTGGCGTAGGTTTGGACAAGGTCGTCGATCCTGGTGCCGGCTTGAACTGCGACGTTAACCCTGGACCTGGTTTCTGCGGTGGCATCGGCACCGGAACCTGATCAGGTTTGGGCCGAGACACGTAGTTAGGAATGTCGTTACTTTCGAGGGAATTATGCTGAGTCGTCGCCAAGATGTCCTCGCTCTCCTCGATGGCGTTATCCTGCGGCGAGATATCAGGCTCGTCGTCGATTTTACAGCAGCTCCCGAAGTAGAAGCGGTCTATACAGGTGCCCAGGTGAGTGCCATTGGCCTTCGCGCAGGTAAACGCGAACATGCACACCCCCGTCTCGCCGCTCCTGCGAGACACGCATGGCAGGTGTCTGATGTTCCTTCCGCTGCCTGGAACAAGGAACCGAAACGTTGGTTTTTTAAAAAATTGCATTTAAAAAATAAAGAAAATCAGTACATTGAAACGAGCCAATGGAAAAATTAAACGCCCACGTGGCTCTCTTCGACATCCCTGACCTCGACTTTGAGGTTCCCAGGTGGGGTTTGAAGAATTTCAAGAATTTAACGAATTTAACCCCTCGCAGAAATGATTGCTCGATACAAAAAAGTCATTTTTGCTCCTGAAGAATAAGTTCCTTGAAAATCAGAGTCAAGGTCACCGAGGTGCCTTGACCTCGCGAAACGTCTTTTCCGGCCGGGTGGCGCTCTCGTCGCCAAGATGGCGGCGCTCGTCCTCGCGGCCGCGGAATCCGCGGAGGTGAGGAACCGACGTCGCTGGGGCCCCGAAGAGGGGCCTTACGACGGCCAGGAAGTCCCGTTAAGATTCGTTGTGCGTGAGCCAGTTGGCCGCAGCCCGAAAGTGGGTCAGAGCCTTAGCCCAATGTGGCAGCTTCCTCTTCTCGAGGTACTCGCGATCTCGACGCGACCCCTGTTGCTCCTTTTGGCGCCGAGGTCTCCCCTCGCCAGGAGATCCCGGCCTAGCCTCGACTCCCATTGGCCGTCAAACGCATTCCAAGGATCCGACCACCGTGAAGACCGGTCGGGCCCCGGGCCCCGCTTCGCTCCGAATGTTGGGCCCAACGTTGGTTCGATATGTTGGGACCCAATACCGAACTCGATACGGTGAGGCCCAATTCCGGGCTCGGTGTTAGGGCATGATTTTTTGGGCTCGGTGTTAGGGCATGATTTTTTGGGCCTGATGACGCCTGATTTTGGGGCCTCATCTTCTTGATTTCCAAGCACTATTTTGGAACTTTCGAGCGAAGCGTAACTAACTTTTGAACATACCGAGACGGGTCGCGATTTTCGGGCTCGACGTAAGGCCCAATTTCTTTAAGGCTCTGGGCAGGGTCCCGGTTTTAAGATGAAGTGAAGGGTAAAGACCAAACTATCCGAAACTTTGACACTGCACTCCTGATCATCTAAGAATTGTCCTGACGCATTGAAAATTTGGATTTATAAAAAAAATTTATTCAACTCAGCCCAGACCAGAACCAAAATGGCGTCGAGTTCTCATATTTCCATCAATATACAATTATCGAAGGCTCTGATATGAGAATCGAAAGGGTCAGAACAATTTGACGACAATTTAGAACCCTCTGGTAATCGATAAACTCGCATTTGAACGGGATAAAGGCAAAAAAAGTGTTGCATGCGCTTCTATGCCAAACCGATGGTAATACGAGGTCTCGGAGTGAAAATTTAATTGACCTGGAAATCACAGATGGCGCAGGGGGTCCCTCCGCAGTCAATTAGGGCCCCAGAAAGCACGAATCCGGAGGATTTCTGGAGGTTTACTTCGATTTCTTTACAATTATTCTACGAAAACGACAGGTGGAGTATGCCATTTGGTACAATACCCAATATAATTCGACCCAGCTGTCGATATAAAAACCAACGTCGGCAACGTAGGTATGTAGAAAAATCTTCTTTATCGACGTCGATCAAGTTCCTCGACGTGTTTCACTTCACCTTAATTGCATCTTGGGGATGACAAGTTTGGGACCACTTTGGGCCCCGGATTACCGTGCAGAGCGTACGGTGTTTATCTAGGAGATTTAGGCCAAAGTACCGCTCAACGCCTCTACGTGCCCGTAAAGGCCCCGATCTTATCACCGGGATTTACGGCGACACTTGACGAGCTAATCGAAGATAGCTGACGGATTCGATGCATCGGACCCGCTCTGATCGAATTCAGGGATCGTTAATGAGGTAGGGGAGTCCATTCGCGTGTTCGGTTAATGTGGATGACGGTCTTCGGATTCGGGGTCAGTTGGTCGGACTCGTCATCGTCGAGGATGACGGTGGCACCGTTGCTTTCCCGTGGAATGTCGGATGTGACGCCCACGATTTCGACCGGTAAATCATTTCCTGGGTCCGTTGGTCTTCCAGAAAATATTTCCCTGGAATGCCTCACCGGTGAGGAATTTTTTTTCAGGGATGAGTCGAGCAGGAACTCCAACGACCGAGATGACGTCCTCCGAGGACGCCGCTCGATGATTGGAACTCGAAATGCGGATTCGATCTCGTAAAGGGAATGTGGAATTGAAAAGGGGTCCCGTAGGCACTCCGGGCTTCCCGGGATGAGGAAAACCTTGCATAAGAGGCTTCGTGACCGTGGATGACCCACTTGCATGGAAAACTGACCGGTGCTCCCACGTTCCGTTCGAGCACGTTCCAAGACAGGGTCAATGTCGCTGTTCCTCCGATCGAATCGATGCAGATTCAGCTTATCCATCTCTATGCGTTAGATTTTGCATCTCCACCCTCCAGACTCCTTGTTCATAAATATCATTAATAATACTCACCTCCAGGAAGAAACTGCGGACCGTAAATCGGCACTCCCGAAACGCTCTTCAGCGTCAACTCCACCAAGAAGATGCACAGCAAGAAACTCGTCGAAGAGCGCAACCTCCCTCTTTCTACCATCTGTAATAAAGAAAAATTCATAAGAAATGTTTAATCAATCCAACCGAAACATTTCTCCGATTCCCACAATTATTTTTACATTTTTTTTTTATTTAATTTAAGGTCGCTTAATCAATCCATCCCTAATATTTCTCCAATTCCCGCAATTATTTTTACATTTTTTTTTTATTTAATTTAAGGTCGTTTAATCAATCCATCCCTAATATTTCTCCGATTCCCACAATTATTTTTACATTTTTTTTTTATTTAATTCAAGGTCGTTTAATCAATCCATCCCTAATATTTCTCCGATTCCCACAATTATTTTTACATTTTTTTTAAATTTAAATTAAGGTCGAGAAGATTGACTTTTGCACAATGTCGCCGATTGGTATACATTTTTCGATGTACTTTACAGGTAAATCTTCTCCCGGGTCGTTATTACTGTGTACATACCCGGGTGGCATTACAATCGCTCGTTTGTACACGCGTGAACAATCCGGCAACATCATCAGCTAAGTTAACACGGAATATTGATATTTAATCACCCGCCGTTCGCATAATTTGCAATCTACATCCATTCCGATATGCAGCTTCGCTCAGGATCCGCGCAATGAGGTTCTCTTGGAAACGTGACGACATTTACTGCCGTCACGGTGTGTGTACACCATAGTCAATTGTCTAGAAAATCCGTCATATCCTCTCTTATCTGACATTACGCTCTGACGAAAGAATAATGTTAGTCAGTCGTCGCTCCCGGAAGGAGTTCTGCCGTAATGACAAAAACAATGCGAGAAAAATCGGGGAAAATTTTCGGAAAAATTCTGAACATCCAAGGAGCCAAGTGGGACGTCTTCAGGTACTTTCTGAGAGCAATGCAACATTTTTTCACGAGTTTCGTCATTGTTCGCGATTCGACGTGTGATTAAGTCGTGATTAGGACGTGCTGCGACGTCTCCCAAAATATGGCAATTTTAATTGAAATTAATGGACGAATTTTGGAAAAAAATTCTGCACATCCTAAGAGTCAAGCGGAACGTCTTCGGGTACTTTCTGAGAGCAATGCAACATTTTTTCACGAGTTTCGTCATTGTTCGCGATTCGACGTGCGATTAAGTCGTGATTAGGACGTGGAGCGACGTCTCCCAAAACATAGCAGTTTTAATTAAAATTAATTTACGAATTTTGGAAAAAAATTCTGCACATCCTAAGAGTCAAGCGGAACGTCTTCGGGTACTTTCTGAGAGCAATGCAACATTTTTTCACGAGTTTCGTCATTGTTCGCGATTCGACGTGCGATTAAGTCGTGATTAGGACGTGCAGCGACGTCTCCCAAAACATAGCAATTTTAATTAAAATTAATGGACGAATTTTGGAAAAAAATTCTGCACATCCTAAGAGTCAAGCGGAACGTCTTCGGGTACTTTCTGAGAGCAATGCAACATTTTTTCCCCATTTTTTCAGGAGTTTCGTCATGGTTCGCGATTTGACGTGCGATTAAGTCGTGATTAGGACGTGGAGCGACGTCTCCCACGACGTGGCATTTTTCACCTGGGAACGTTCCCACGTTTACGGACGTCTACCTTTCCTCTGGTCTTCCTAACGCGAGGAAGGAATAGATGAGGAAATGCCCGAGGTCGGCAACTCCTCCATCGCAGGTTCTTAAAGACGACGACCTAAGAAAATGGCCACATTCACATATTCGCAAAAAAATCCCCAGGAAAGATTTAAAAGTAAAAAATGTCCACGATTCTCGAAATCACCTTCAGGAGGAAATTGGAAAAATCTCCCTCCCCCGGGTGATCGTCATCTCGCTTGAAAATCGGGATCACTGACCTCGACAACCGAGAGGCTCGCTCGACTCTACGATACAAATTGCTGATACAAATCCATGAAGTGCTTTTCCCATTAGAGAAGGAGCTTAGCTGATTATCTCCTCAAGGTATTTCCCCCCGATAACGGGGCACTAAGAGGACCCTGAAAATTCTCTAGGGAATTCTTAAAATTCTTTGGATTTTTCTAATGCCTGGGATTTTCTAGAATTTTAGGATTTTTCTAGGGAAACAATGCGGAATTAATTATTCCCTCTCTTGGGGGAACTCGAAGAGGGGAACGGGAGGTTCGCAGTGTTTAGAAAGGTCGCTAGATCCTTCGAATGGGCGACACGTTCGAAAAGAAAGCACCGTATAGACGAATTTCGTCCGGTTGGCACGTACACTCGAGCAGGACGTAACGGTACCGGAAACTTTCGTTTTACCGTGGACGTGGGTACCGCTCTCCGTCAGCTGCGATCGAGAAACGCGAACTGCGGGCAAAAGGCTCGATTTCGAGGACTGAAAATCCCCAGCCGTACCCCGAGGTTTATCAATTCCCCGACGAGGGGGAGGAAGGGGCCAGAGAGTGAGAAAACCCAAGAGGAAAGGGATAAATCGAGCACCAACCGAAGTACCGCTACCTTACTTAAGCTGACTTACTTAAGCAACCCGGAGGATGCAAACAGACCGCCTGAAAGTACCCGAAGAAAGGACACACTTTTCACGGTCGACGGAGCCAATCGAAGATTTCCCTCTTCCGGAAGGAAAAGGAAAGAAAGAAAAAAAAACGAAGTAAAAGAAAACACCGAGCGACCCTGCATTTATCGTTTTTATGCGTTCATAAGGAGGTCGGAAGTCGACGAGGGACCAGAGGGGCCGAGATGCCGAAGAAAGAAAACACACCTTCACGGTCGAGGTAGCTGGTCGTGGATTTTTCTCTAATCGAGCAGTGCACCTGGAAGAGATGGACCACTTAAACAAGAAATAGTTCATGGGAAAAAATATGAAAATGAATTTTTGAAAGCTTTCCCGAAACCACAAGGGTCCAAGCTCATGGGGTGAAAAATGAAGTTTCGACGTTCCCTTCCCCCGGGAATATTTTTAAGGGCTCGAAAAATCGGAGGAGGGTCTTCAGGGTGCTCCTTAAGCTACTCCTAGTTACCGGATCCACCTCTTCAGGGTCTCACCTTGAGCCTTCTAGTGGAAGCCAAGCCGCAAAGATCAGCTGTCTCGCAGAAGAGCAGTCCAGCGGTCGTCAGACGAGCCTTGGACCGCTCATTTTATTCCTCGAGGCGAGGAATCCCGAAGCAGTCCCACAGGACTCGGTCTTCCCAGGACAAAGTGGGGTTCACGAGGAAGATCCGGTCCAGGTCTCGTCCAGGGCCGCCAGCGATCCGATCGGTACCCAGGTTCACTCGCCACTGGGCTTCATGTCTTCTGACAATGCCCCGACTTGCGAATCTCCGGAAGTCACCTGGACATCCCTGAGGCGAAGGTGGACTCGAATCGGCGAGAAGAAGAAATTTTGGGACCAACCGCTGGGACCTGGCCGAATCGATTGGGTCCTCTGGTCCTATTCGACGGGGTCTTGTCGGGCCTGGGGGTCAGCCGATTGAGAGGGTCCCTCGATGCCGGGCTGGTCTCGCCTCGAAAAGTCCCTCCCGGACGACTGACCGAGTGCTACTAGTCCTATTGGTCCCAAGGAGGCCTTTCCCGCTCCAGTCCGACACCGCCGGGCCCGCCGCGTGCGGCCCCGGGCCCCGCGCGAGGCTCTCTTCCGTCAAAAGAGACCCCGATGCCGCTTTTATGAGAATTCCGACATGCGCTATACTCCAGGGTCGACTCGATAGGATGGATTTGGATGCAGCTTCAAGTCTGACTATGCCTCCCAGGACTCTGTATCAGTCCTCGGGCCCGTTCTTCAACTCAAACCCTGGCTACCAAACTGGGTCCTTTTCGTCAACCTCTTCTCCTACCCCCTGTTTCCAAAAAATTCAGTAAAATTCTAATTAGGATACATTTCCGACTTACATCTAATTGCAGCTTCATGTCTGACTATGCCTCCAAGGACTCTGTATCAGTCCTCGGGCCCATTCTTCAACTCAAACCCTGGCTACCAAACTGGGTCCTCTTCGTCAACCTCTTCTCCTACCCCCTGTTTCCAAAAAATTCAGTAAAATTCTAATTAGGATACATTTCCGACTTACATCTAATTGCAGCTTCATGTCTGACTATGCCTCCAAGGACTCTGTATCAGTCATCGGGCCCATTCTTCAACTCAAACCCTGGCTACCAAACTGGGCCCTCTTCGTCAACCTCTTCTCCTACCCCCTGTTTCCAAAAAAATTCAGTCAAATTCTAATTAGGATACATTTCCGACTTACCTCTAATTTAATAGACTTGGTATTAATGGTTTATGAATGTTAATAATTCCCGGAAATTTGATTTTTATCCCCCGATTCTGGAAAATGGGGAAATTTAATGACCCGTGCAGATTGCGGTTTTTAATTTGCATGGGGCCTTACCGTGGTTTCCGAAAGCATGCAAACTGTAGATGGCCCCCTCCAGGCTGGGCCCAGGTGGTGGCAATGACCGTTCTCTCTCGGGGCCTTATTCCTCCTCGGGCCCCGTTCTTCCCCACTCTTCATGGTGGATTCTATCGAGGTACCTGCTGGCAAGGATTCCGATATATGTGCTGGCTCAAATTCCGGAAGGTTTCTTTGCGGCCGTAATCCAGAGAGTCGAAGTTCCCTTCTTCAAACACTCGTTATCCCCCTGACGGAAAACCAACCAAACAATATATTTTCAATAGACGCTCACTAAAAATTATTTACAGAGATTCCTGACTTACTCGAACCAGGTTTAACTTCCGATACTCATGGTCATGTAAGAAATCATATTTTCATGGATGCACCCTGAATAAGTACAGAAATTAAAAATGATTAATCCTCCTCCTGAGTGCCGATAAAAATATTTTAATTCACATTTTAATTAATTATTTAACCTCGAAGTCGGTAAGATGGTGTAGAAATTTAATAGTTTCAAACTCGCCCATCAGATGGAGCATGACCCTGCACTCGCTGCAGTCTTCGGGTCGATTAATACACTTCTGTATCGACAGAGAGAAGCAGAGATTTTTAAATGTCCTGGGTTTCGTCGTTTAACGGTTGTCGAGCACTCCTTGTTATTCTCTGTCGGTAATCCTTGTGATCGAGTCGAAGGTGTATACAGTTCCCTGCATTGCGGTCAGATGGCACAGGCGCGGCAAGTTCCGCAGTCCTCCGCGCCGCGGCAGCACGGTGCCGTTTTTGATGCCTCTATGCTCTGCAATGAAGAGAATTCCGGATTCGTAGCTGCCATCTCCCATCCTCGACACTTCGTGGCTGACTTCTTGGTTCGCGCTTAGTCCCGTTTCGCCATTCTTTAGTTCCGGGTGAATCGCGGTTCGCGCGGCGTTTCAATTCGATTGAGCTCGTGTACCCATTCATTGACTGGCACGAGAGGAGTTTTTTTTTCAACCTAACTAGCCATACGGGAAGCCTAACCTCTTCGTGAAGTACTTCGAGGACGACCTTCGAGGAACTCGACTCAAGGGCCCGGTGTTAATGTTCGAGGCGCGACAAAATGAAGTTCACTCAGCGCTGTCTTGGGAACATCACCAAGATGTTAGACTTCTACTCGCAGTTCAACCCCTCGCCGCTTTCGATAAAACAGTTCATCGATTTCGGTGAGCCGAGATTATGGGCACATTTCTCTGAGAGCGTCTCAAAAATTCTCAACGTCGATCTCTCCGATCCTTATCCCAAACTGTAATCTTCCCCTAAAAAGGAATAACAGAGTGTAGAAATTTAATTATAATTTTCTTTCATTCCTAAAGGCCCTCCGTCGTCAGATTTAAGTCTGATAGCGATGCTCCGTAATCGTTAGTTCAATTAAATTACTCTAGATTAATCGATTAAGCCCTCCGGAGAAGAAACATGGATATTGGATTAATCTAAGCTGTTAATCGGGTATACTTCTTTCTGATGTAATTTCTCGGACATGTCATTTGATCTTTAAAACTTATTGGCGACATTGGAAAAATCATGTGAGCTCTATTTTTAGGTCTGTATCGTAACAGTCCCAGTCGAATGATCAGGAACCAGATATTCTGAAGATTTCTAGTCGTCTCTCTCCAAGACCTCCCAAGGCTAGCCAATTTAAATATCCTTTCAAGGATGAAGATTAATCTCACGGTATAAACGGCTTAAGACGTCTAGTGGATGGAAATATTTTTTTAACTATAATCACAGCTTGAGTAATGTTACTTCATTTAAGCGAAACTTTTAGGAATGTTTTAACGTTCCTGCGTTAATTTAGTGAATCTGGAATTGCTCACTTAAAGTCGCCTGCTCCTTGTTTCGTGTTTTCAGAAGATTCCGTATAAGATTCATTGATCTTTCCTATCCCAGATGCTCCAGGGGATCGAGGCATTCAGGGATACATCCTAAAAGCTATAACGTAGAGCAGTTTAGAGCTTTATCACTTTAACGAAGCTGGAGAGTCGAAGGCATTTGCATAAACGTAAATGTGTACATGGCTGTAAAGGTGTATAGGTACCTGTAATAACAAACTGCAGGAAATGAACCTGCAACTGACGAAAGCTTTGAGTTCCTACACGGATTGTTCGACACATGACCCCGGTGGATTTACATTGGTCACGTAGGCCCCCGTGCGATTGCCATGGGAGAAAGCGAGGGAGAGCAAGAGAGAGGACGCGATTGGCAATGCCTAAGTTAGAGAAGGACCCACTGCGAAAAGAGGCGCGAGTTCACCCACTTCTACCAAACCGAATAAAATCCGATCAATAGTCGCGCTAAGTAAATAATAATTGATAAGCCCCTTTAGTACACTGAGAAAAAAGTCTCCACCAAACCAAAAAAATATTCTATTAATTCAAAAAATAAATATATGCTTCGATGAAAACTTTTTCTCAGTTCAGAAAGGCAACGAAAAGTAAGGATAAAAATCGTTTAATCATTTTTTTTTTTTAGCAAGGCAAGAAAAGAGATCAAGGCTTGAAGTTAATTCCTTGACGTCAGTACTATTAGCAGTTGTATTAAACAAAGGATGAAAATGAAATAACGAGACGCAGAGCTATCGCTACCGGTGTTAATTTTCAGACCAGCTGCAGAGTTATAGGTCAGCTTCGGACATGCAGTAGGGATGAATTAACTATAGTGGTTGATAGCCGACGTCCGGCGCATGACTCCGGTTAGCTGACGTATAAACAAGCCTAATTATTCAATGAAAAAGACTGAAATTCCAAGTAGACGTTGCGGAGGAATAATGCCCAGTTTGCTTCCGCGTTCTTCGTTTGATGGGCAATCTGCAAGTTTTAATTAAATAAGGAAAAATAACGCGTAATTCGGATTTTCTATACTCCCGTCGTTACGGCTCGGTATTAAATTTACACGCGACGTCTTTTTTCGAAATGTGGAAGCGAGAAGCTCGCCTACAAAGTTTAGCTTGCGCGAGAAATTAGATTGACCTTAGGTCTATTTATGCCTCCGATTTATAGCCATTACGTATACGAGTGGTGGCGGTAATTGGTAGATCGCCAAAAATTAGAGAAATCTGTCCTCACATGAGCATCTTAAACCAGGATCAAAGGCATGGATTCGGTCCTACCCCAACTTGTGTACATTACTCGCACTCCGGTGTATCCGTAACTGGCATTACGCGTACCTCCTAAAAGTGTAAATTATTCCCCTACACTATCGTAAGCTTTCTTGCCGACTTATTTTACAATACTAACCTGGGTAATTGGACAAATTGTGTAACCCTCGCTCTTAAGGTGAAGTGAAACATGTCGAGGAACTTGATCGACGTCGATAAAGGAGATTTTTCTGAATGCCTACGTTGCCGACGTTCGTTTGTATATTGACAGCTGTGTCGAATTATATTGGGTATTGCACTAAATGGCATACTCCACCTGTCGTTTTCGTACAATATATATCAAGAAATCGAAGTAAAACTCCAGAAATCCTCCGGATTCGTGCTTTCTGGGGCCCTAATTGACTGCAGTGGGACCCCCGGCGCCATCTCTGATTTCCAGGACAATTAAATTTTCACTCCGAGACCTCGTATTACCATCGTTTTAGCATAGAAGCGCATACAACACTTTTTTTGCCTTTATCCCGTTGAAATGCGAATTTATCGATTACCAGAGTGTTCTAAATTCTCGTAAAATTGTCCTGGCCCTTTAGTTTCTCATATCAGAGCCTTCGATAATTGTATATTGATCGAAATATCAGAGCTCGACGCCATTTTGGTTCTTGTCTGAGCTGAGTTAAAAAATGTTGTTGAAAAATCCAAATTTTCAATGTGTCGGGACAATTCTTAGATGATCAGGAGTGACGTGTCAAAGTTTCGGACAGTTTGGTCTTTTACCCTTAAAAAAAAGTGTCGTATTAGAATCGACTGATTTGAAGGGGGTTTCACTTCACCTTAAGCTAAATTGAATTCATGGCCAGCGCATCACCGTCCGTTAAACGGAGTAATCGGTTTCGTGAAGCCGTCGAGTACGCCTTCCAAGGGCGATTGTCTGAAAAAATTGAGGAGAAATCAGCCGGTCAGTCGAGACGCGAGATACCTTGCGAAACGGTATAAAGGTGCGACGCGTTTATATACTATTCGCCTACCTTTTCCCTCGGGGGTAGTTATTCCCGGCATCGATCACGAGATTATCTCCTCGGGACACGTCAAGGAGAGTCGATGTCGCCTATAACATGCTTTACAAGACTTATAAGAAGCGTTAAAAGGAATTCCCGATAGACGCTTCCGCTCCCTAGAATCCAAGATGGCGGCCGCGGAGGCGTCCCTCGCTCACCTCGTAACTTCCGCTCGGGTTAGCGTCCTCTTGCCGGAAATACGGAAAAGCCTCGAGGGTGAAAGCTCGAGGATACCGGAAACGACGCCCACGGCCCTCGCTTCTTCTTGGGCACGCCTCGAGAGGCTTCTATTCCGGGCGGCCGCCATCTTGGTGACGAGTTCTTCGTCGAGGCGACGTCAGAGGGCTCGCCGGATTGTTGGCGCGTTTCTTGCAGACTATTTCCCGATTTTTGGGTCTCGACCAGCTTCCGGTCTGGGCGTGTCTCGAGGGAAATAAAATTCAACGTCCATGCCGCGAGATAACTATTTAATTTATTGTGATCGTTGAATTAGTACTCCCAAAAAGTATCAGACATGGAGGCCTAACTTAAGGTGAAGTGAAACACGTCGAGGAACTTCATCGACATCGATAAAGAAGATTTTTCTAAATGCCTACGTTGCCGACGTTGGTTTTTATATCGACAGCTGGGTCGAATTATATTGTGTATTGTACCAAATGGCATACTCCACCTGTCGTTTTCGTAGAATAATTATAAAGAAATCGAAGTAAAACACCAGAAATCCTCTGGATTCATGCTTTCTGGGGCCCTAATTGATTGCAGAGGGACCCCCTGCGCCATCTGTGATTTCCAGGGCAATTAAATTTTCACTCCGAGACCTCGTATTACCATCGTTTTGGCATAGAAGCGCATACAACGCTTTTTTTGCCTTTATCCCGTTCAAATGCGAGTTTATCGATTACCAGATTGTTCTAAATTGTCGTAACATTGTCCTGACCCTTTAGTTTCTCATATCAGAGCCTTCGATAATTGTATATCGATCGAAATATGAGAGCTCGTCGCCATTTTGGTTTTGGTCTGGGCTGAATTAAAAGATTTGTTTGCAAAATCCAAATTTTGTATGTGTCAGGACAATTCTTAGATGATCAGGAGTGACGTGTCAAAGTTTCGGACAGTTTGGTCTTTTACCCTTAAACAAAAAGTGTTGTATTAGAATCGACTGATTTGAAGGGGGTTTCACTTCACCTTAATCCTCGTGGCACCTGTTGGCCTGCCTTCGCGCAAGATACAATATGTTTGCCCGATAGTTCCCGAAAAGTTCAATAAACAGAGATCATTGTTTGCCCGTGACGCTGTAAGACCCCCGGGGAGCGGAAACCGGTCGGTTTCGTAATTGTTGATCGCTCCAGCGGAGATACAGGCATGGAAAATAATCTGGAACACCCGCCGGACCTCCACGTCCGCATGGGCGTTTCATCCGTATGTACTCCGCTATATACCGCTATATACCGCTGCATATACCGACGGAAACGCGCGGCAGGCTTTTATCGCCTCTTTAAAAAGTGGAGGCTTCTCCTGTGTGTTAGTGCCACGTTAAACACGCCGCTGGATGTGTGTGGGTCTCTGACGAGTTGGGGGCTCGTCTGCTTCGCAACAGCCTTTGCGAAATCGCTCTTTAGTCGCATAAACCTCGACGATATCATTATCGACATGGAGTGTACGAGTAATAATTGATATCCATGCGCGTCACTGGGCGATTAACCGCAAATCGGGACCCATCGCTTCCTCGGTTACCGGATTTCATTTCTTACGAAATGCCTGCAATTTGCAGATCCAAGTATGGCGCAATTTAATTTTAGATAAACATTTAGATTTTTTTTTCTTTTTTTTCTGGATGGGGACAAAGTCGGGGAATAATGTGCAATTCAATCGCACGTTGGTTTTACTTCTCCGGGCAAATTGCCTGCTATATTAAGGCTGTTAAATACCGACTCGATGACTCACTGGGAATTGTTAGAATGACGAGTACATGGCAAATGTGCGATATCAGTACATAGGTACGGCCGGATTATCCGGAAGTATGTGCACAACGGTGCGATCGACTTGTGGCTAAACGAGATTTTTTAATGAATAAATTCACGAGGGATTTATTTTCGATCTGGATCGAGACTTTCGTTCCCTTAATCGCACTTCCGATGCGGCAGTGACGTAACGTGTCAATTAATTTCAAGGGTATCATTGCAGGATGTCTCACGTGTAACATGCGACGCAGCTACGTAGCCTTGACAGTCACGAGCATGTACCGATAATAATTATTCCTCTCGTCTTGATGACGCTTTTTTTTTTTTTTTATTTAACGCTTCGACGTGGAGAGTACACGAGGCTCGTCTTGATTTAAATATTCGACGACTCGGCTTGAATATTTTAGAGAATTTCCGGTAAATGTTAATACGCGCTTGATGTAACACCTCCAGGGGCCGAAGTTCGTGATTACACTGACGTCATTAATTTTCCAATTTAGCCACAAAATTTGCGTCAATTTGATCAGCTTGCGGCGGGCAAAGTCGGTGGTTTAATTACAATTTTATCGGCCTCTGTCTGGATTGCGTTTATCTAATTCGCAAGTGTTCACTTAGCGATACGTGCGAATCTCCTCGTCATAACAATATACTGTTTTTTCCAGACGCGGTAGAGATTGAGAAGCAATTCTAGAACGTATGCAAATTCCTAGCCAGTGAGTAAGAGGCGTGGCAGAGCGGACTCTGAAACGTCTCAATCAGCTGACTGAATGGCTAATCCCCGAGCGGCGACGTGTTATTGAAATCCGACATGATATTTGCCAAGCCGCACCTGTAATTTGCACTCCGCTCGCGGTAAACAATATTAAAAAGCAGAGAGGGAAAAAAAATGCCCGCGACCGATTGCACGAGTTAAGCCTCGCGATATCGAATTTGACAGGCAGGGCGATAACCGAGTCTCGATGCTGACTTCTTATCGTTTTTAATTTTACTTTGTTGTTTCAAGGTCGTTTCCGTTTTTTCCTCGGGTGAACACGAGGTAAAGGTATCCGTAGTTCGGCCTAAATCTAGGAAAAAAAAAGTGTATATTAAATAAGAAGAAAAACAATTAATCATCGTATTGAATTTTGGCAATTACTCCGGATGCGGCGATCAGCTGATCGGCTCGTAAGGGCGCGCGTTTCCGTTTTTTCGACGGGTGAACACGAGGTAAAGGTATCCGTCGTTCGGCCTGAATCGAGGAAAAGAAAATATATATTAAAAAAGAAGATAAAGAATTAATCATTGTATTGAATTTTGGCAATTACTCCGGATGCGGCGATCAGCTGATCGACTCGTAAGGGCGCACGTGGCTCGAAGTGACACGCAAAGAGCCGAGAATTATTTTCGGAGGACACACCCTCTCTTGGACTCTGGACCGCGTGAGAAAAACTATTCTCGGAGAGGAGTCCGTCAATCGCGAAATTCTCACCGGGTCGCCCAAAGTCCAAGGCGAGGAAAGTCCACGACTTCCTAGGTGGGATTCCAATTTAGGAACCTTGCACTTAGCCGGGGGGGACTTGAATGTTTAACCGGGGACCTTGTACTTGGGACCGAAAATTGGACACCCGCACTTTGTATATTTATGCGGACTGTAAATTAAGCCTTTCTTTATGCGCGCGTTGGGAAACATCGACTAGAATGTTATAAACGATTTTTGGGGGAGGGCGATTCGAGACAACCGGTGAATTTGTTCCCATGCCAAGTCATTACGGGCAAATGACGCGTACCCTTGGATGTCAAGCAAAATTGCACAGGTCACCTTTATCTCGTTGCTTCCCCAGAAACGTGATTTCGAGATCCAATTTCGTCGGAGGGCACGTAAAATTTCTCGCGATTTCCTGCGTAGTTCGCGTTAGAAATAGACCTCGAGTCTCTTCGGGCCTTTAAAGATAACCGTTGTAAAAATAAATTGTTAGCTAGTCGGAGGAAATTGCAAATCTTGATCCTGACCCCGACGAATCTTGACCTGCCGACCTCGGCATCGGGTGATTATAAAACTGGGAAATATGACAAACTCCGCTTTGTTGCATCGAGGATTTGCATTTCCGAGCTGCCGACTTCCTCGATTAATTCCAGATTTAATTGCGTTATGACCGACGTTATTACATTTTTTTTTCTCGACCTCGATTTCATTGTCTTCCCTCTGGCGCGCTTCTGGAATTTCATCTAATTGAGTAATGGTGCATTACTAAGCCGCATGGCGGAATCGAATTGACGTAATCGCAATATGAGCCGAGTCACTTTTGACATATGTGCCCATAATTATGAAAGTGGTCTAAGTCATATATTTTTTGTTTCGAAATTACATTGAATTAATTTCGTTTGAAATAATATGGCGTGAAATAACTGATAAACTCAATGTTTTTTAATTTTGACTTAGACCACTTTCATAATTATGGACACATATGTGCCCATAATTATAAAAGTGGTCTGTCATATATTTTTTGTTTCGAAATTACATTGAATTAATTTCGTTTGAAATAATATGGCGTGAAATAACTGATAAACTCATTTTTTTTTTTTAATTTTGACTTAGACCACTTTCATAATTATGGGCACATATCCACTGTTAGCTTTCATACTCGTAGGAATTCTTTTTATAGGGCGCTCGTAAATTTCAATTGTTACGCTCGGAAAAGTTTCCATCGCGATGCTTTCCCGACTGCGTTCCTCGAATGGCCGTTCTCGATCTGCACGAGCGGATTTTTATATGCAATGAATTACTCCATCTCCGGTTCTCTTCGACTCTATCGCGACTTTTGTCGGCGACATCTTATCGGCGTTATGTACAAGAGAAAATATCCGCAATATTTACCGCTCGTATCTGTTTTCGACGCGTCTCGAGGTTTCATTGGTCAGATAAGAGCGTCGCAGCGATGGCGATATTTCATTTCATCTTTTTTTTTGTCTCCCCTAAAGTAATCCGTAACTCTAATTGCGTACTTTATATCGAGAGATTGGACGATATCCTGCACGATGTCTTATCATAATGTTTCCTTCCAGGACTCAGCGCCTGCGAGCGGAAGTCCTTCATCTTCCTGCGGAAGGAACTTCCGGTCCGGCTGGCGAACATCATGAAGGAGATCCACCTGCTTCCGGAAAACCTCCTCAGAATGCCTAGTGTCGGTATCGTCAACAACCTCTACGTCACTTCCTTCGAAGAGATCATACACTTCGAGAAGGCTGAAATCAGCGACTCCACCCTGGACAGGTGATTGGAAAATGCCCGAGAAAATTATCACAATTTCCCTGCCGCTCATTGTCGATCTCCTTTTTCTCTTTCAGATTCTGCCAGGCGTTGGTCAAGATCAAAAATAGACATGCCGACGTTGTGCAGACCATGGCCCAGGGGGTTTTGGAGCTGAAGGAATCTCACGACGTGGACATGCAGACGGAGAACAGTATTCAGTATTTCCTCGACCGCTTCTTCATGTCGCGGATCTCCATCCGGATGCTCATTAACCAGCACAGTGAGTTGCGGGATAATCGTTCTTCCTCCTCCTTTTTTTTTTTCATATCTCTTCAAAATGACCGTCCGGCATTGCTCCGTAATTGGTCGTTAAGAAGATTTCATTACGGTAAGGTCCCCGGTGTGACGGCCATCATTCACCTCATTTCTTCCCCCCGGTGCACCTTATGCCAGATCATGACTTTCTCCATCTTTACGGCTTTTTCTTCTGCGCAGCCTTGTTGTTCGGTGGACTTTTAAACGGCCACAGCAGACACGTGGGATGTATAGATCCATTATGCGATTTAACGGCGGTCGTGAAGGACGCCTATGAAAATGCACGATTCCTATGCGACCAATATTACCTCGCGAGCCCGGAGCTCAGAATCACGCAGCATAACGGCAAGTTTCACCTATGAACATGTTAGTAGATTAATATTAATAGTAAGTAATACCGCAGCTAAGTAATCGGAGAAAAGTATGAAATACTTATCGGAGGTCCTCACCCACGTAAACGGTACCTTGATTGCCTTTTCTCAATTCTTTTTTAGAGCTCGAACGAGGGAATGAAATTCGAGTAGTCTACGTGCCAAGCCATTTGTACCATATGTTGTTCGAGCTCTTCAAGAACAGCATGCGAGCCGTCATGGAATACCATGGGACCGACTCTGACAACTATCCACCCATCGAGGTCACGGTTGTCCGCGGAAAGGAGGACATTTGCGTGAAGGTATAGTCACCATAAGGTCCATATCGGCTGTCGTAATTTTTTTCGCCATCTTAATATAAATATTCCATAATTTTTCCAGACGTCCGACCGAGGTGGGGGGATTCCCCGTTCGCAGATGGACAATCTCTTCAAGTACATGTACAGTACCGCGCCTCAGCCGAGCAAGTCCGATGCTCATACGGTCCCATTGGCAGGATATGGTTACGGTCTGCCATTGTCGCGTCTCTATGCTAGATATTTCCACGGCGACATCGTCCTTCTCAGCTGCGAAGGATACGGCACGGATGCGGTTATTTATTTGAAGGTAAGGGACCTTGAAGTCGCTCTAGGATTTCACCTGTTCCCTTGTACGCTGGTGATGTGACATTCTTATATATAGCTCGTTAAAATGTAATAGTAGGGAGTGACGTTCAAGTCCATCAAGTCGTATGCTTTTTACTCAGGCCCTGTCCAACGAGGCGAACGAGTTACTGCCCATCTTCAACAAGACTTCGTCCAAGTTCTACCGAACTACCGTGCCCATTGCCGATTGGAGCAGCCAGTGCGGGGGCGGCATGGCCACTCGGCAGCTTTGCATGAGCAATACCCAAGGCCACAGACTTCCTCATGGTATGGAGATAAGTCAATGCTAGCACCCTCTGGACGGCTCGGCGGATGACCAAAACACGGTAAAGTAGGTAGTTGAGCCGTTTCAACGCTTTCGTTACGTCGAGATCGATTTTTAATTTCACAATTAAATTCACAACCGTGCGCGATAATCAGAGCTTTAAGGTGAAGTGAAACACGTCGAGGAACTTGATCAACGTCGATAAAGAAGATTTTTCTAAATGCCTACGATGCCGACGTTCGTTTTTATATCGACAGCTGTGTCGAATTACATTGAATATTGTACCAAATGGCATACTACACCTATCGTTTTCGTACAATAAATATCAAGAAATCGAAGTAAAACTCCAGAAATCCTCTGGATTCAAGCTTTCTGGGGCCCTAATTGACTGCAGAGGGACCCCCTGCGCCATCTGTGATTTCCAGGTCAATTAAATTTTCACTCCGATACTCCCATCGTTTTAGCATAGAAGCGCATACAACACTTTTTTTGCCCTTATCCCGTTCAAATGCGAGTTTATCGATTACCAGAGGGTTCTAAATTCTCGTAAAATTGTCCTGACCCTTTCGATTTTCATATCAAAGCCTTCGATAATTGATCGAAATATGAGAGCTCGACGCCATTTTTATTCTGGTCTGGGCTGAGTTAAAAAATTTCTTTTAAAAAATCCAAATTTTCAATGTGTCAGGACAATTCTTAGATGATCAGGATGTGTCAAAGTTTCGGACAGTTTGGTCTAATACCCTTAAAAAAAAAGTGTTGTATTCGAATCGACTGATTTGAAGGGTGTTTCACTTCACCTTAAGAATAAAATTGCCGAAAGTCACATGCCTTGACCGGTTCCCGGAACTTGTCGCTCTTTTGCGCAGCTTTTCTTCTATTTATCCGCACGTGACGCTGATATTTTTGTAGGTGGCTTAGGAAATTACCGAAGCCGTCCACCCGGTCTGGGCTTCGATTGAATGCCAATAAATGAATTGCCCAAGGAGGCAGAGTGCTTTCAACGCTCGTCGTATAATATAGACGCTCCGGGCAGAGTTTGCCAGCTGCGAGGATGGTAAAGGGACTACATATCATTTAAAAAGGAAATTTGCTGTTTCTATGAGGGCTTCGACGGCCGATTTACATTTTGTCTCACTGCGAAGTGAGAGGACCTTTGCCGAGATGCGAGCCGGCACTCGGGAGGTCGGATTAAAAATAACACTTTGGCTTGGTTTCAAAGTGGAAAAATTAACGGAAGGTATAACGATGAGGTTACGTTAAATCCCGGCACCATCGAGACGATGGGAACCGGAAGTCGGAAGTGGAGGACAACGAAGTTCCGATAGAGAATTCGGTAACAGGGAGCGTAGGGAATGCCATGGATTTCGTCGCAAAAGGACCAGGCTGAAATTTTCATGAAAAATGAAATCGAGCAACTGGGTTGCTTCGATGATGTGTGATATATATATTTTTTTTCTTTTTTTAACCCGGTGGCAATTCGATTTTTCCGGGAGTTCCAGTTAACTCGAGACCTCCCGTTTCCCTTCAACTTTGTAAACGAAAACCGTAACGATCTTGTTACGACCAGTGATTAAGTTCATGGTGTCGATTTTACTTTTTATTTATTAGAAAAAAATGTTCTGGAATTCGTTTAGAGTTCCGTTTAGCAGTAGGTTTAGGTTTATATTAATATTTGATCGTCGGGTCATCACACGGTTTAATTTCCATGCTGGGAATAATGGGCGTCGAAAGTGAAAATTGTATACTGTTAGGGAATTCTTATTTTCCGCCCTGAGATTGTAAATGTAAATTTTTACAACCAAGTCTCCTCGATGCAATGGATGCATGCACTGCATCGACTCGAGAGGCTTTGAAACTAAATATTTAAATAATTTAAATCAATGCCTGCCACTTGCAGGAATTATAGGGTGGCGTTTAGATTATAAATCGTTTTGGATCGGAATGCAAATGGCGTGAACATGGTCGTTACACGTTTAGATAAATTAAAAGGATGTTTCGTAACGTCACTGAGTGTAATTCTCATTAAGAATCTCATACGTTTGGAAGTGGCAATGATAGTACAACTAGAAATCAAAAGTTCGTACTTCTGTATACCTTGGTTTGGAAACTGTTAAGTGTAAGAAGGTGATTGGCAGAATGTTATTCATGAAACGTAGCATCGATGCATTGTGAGCAGGTATTGGTCGTTAATGATCTATCCATTTGGCTTAAGATTATACCAAAGTCATTCGGCTGTTAATTTGCAACCGGAGAAATCTGTCATATGTTCGCATAACTTGCCCGGTGCAAATATTAATATTTTAATTATCTTTTGTTTTCAATGCTCCGTCATGGGCACATTTTGCAATCCACATGGAATATACGCTACGGATCGCTGACTGTGATGCAAATATGCAATTTAACTATAGCTCATAGAGATATCTCGTTGCTGTACAGCACAAGGATGTGTAAAATCGTATGCTTAGAAATGCATGCACTGTCATATACATACGACTGTATATAAAATAATAAATAGCAAAATTATAAGAGGGAATCAATCGTTGCAATTAAAGAAAATAGTCGGTTGCCGAGGTGTAGGACAGAATTTTGTACAGAGAAAATGTAGAGGCACGCTTTGCAGGGTTCGCTGTGGAGCTTCGAAACTGTAAAAGGAATTATTATTAACCCTTTTAGGATCGCAACTGGTTGCCAGTTCAAAAAGTTCCCGTACACAATTTGCAAGACTCACAGCAGGGCTGCTTCGTCGTTAGTTTCAGAAATTTATAAATTTTAAAAGAATATACTTAACTATTTTTTATTTTCTAGTATCTGTATCATTTTTACCCATGCGCATGTAATTGAAATAAACGGTACAGTAGAGCGTAGTTAGAGACAATTGTTACTTTGAATGGGGGTGGACCCTGCATTTTTTTATTGCCATGTTAAACGGATAGATCGTAATTCTTGTCAAGAACAAAGTGTCTCGGTTCAACAAGGCATGGTATTAAAAATGGCATCGGTAGTTATTTACACTATCTGTTGCAGAACCAGATTTTTATATCACGCCTTGGTAAATGTCCAACAGTGAAGACTGTAATTACGACCTGTCCTCTTAACACGATAAACTCCATAGTTTCTAGTACTTTGTATGAAACATGTAGATAAATGGTAAAGTTATTAAAAAAAGATAACAAGCTGGCACAGACCCGTGGCATATTAAATCGATAGATATCAATGATATAAATACACGCATAATTTGGCAATAGAAATCATTAGATAACCAATCTGACGCATCGAGTGGAAACGTATGCATGTCACCATGTGTCTCGTACAAGTACACATTGTACAGGTGTGTCATTAATATTTCATAATATATGAATATATGTATGATTACCGAATCCCCGAGAATAATTGTTAATTATCGAAATCTCTAACTACGCGGTTGAAAAATGATCACGTGTGACGCACGAGGGAGAAATTGTAAATTGTATATCATTGTTAATAAAGGTATCGCCAGTACAACGAGTTAATAATTAACGTTGATTATTTCAATCCTACCGTGATATTTCTTTGAAGTAAAATAAAATCACCTCGGAAAAATGATTAAACTCTCCCGCACTGGACTGCACAAGAAACTTCGAGAAAAGCAACGCAAGATGGCGCCGCCCAGTTTTCGCGATACCTTCAGTCGATACGATATATCGATCGTAGCGCCGCCATCGCCCGGCAGATGGCGCGACGCGCTACCATCTCGAAGTTCCCTAACTTTTCAGGAGCGTTGAAATGCCGCGTTTTCTCCGGAACTCGTCGTGTGGAAGTTTCCACGAAATGAAGATAACCGCGGTGAAGGTAACCTGCAGGATGGCGTGCCAGGTCCACTTAACGGCGATACGCCGTCGGGATTTACGGGTCAGCGATAACGGGGCGGTAACTCCCCCGGCGGCAGGTAGGACGATCTTTCGCGTTAATCCAGACTCGTGGTTTATGCCGATACGTGACCGGCTCGGGGCTCGGATAGAGACAACGTATTACGTAGCCGACGTAGATCTCGAGAGACTGCAGGGGGTCCACGGTGGCCGTTATAGCAGGTCCCGTGCAGGTCCATGCAGGTCTCTCGTGGCGACTCTTCCAGGAGCGTGGCCATTATTATGTTAAGCGATTCCAGGGTACGGGATCGCCGTGGCAATGGCGCCGTGGGACTCTTCTGCGACGTGCGCGACCTCAAGGGTTCGGCTACGTCGTGCGAATCAAAAAGGAGATATGGATCGACTTCGGTCTCACGGTCCCGTGGATCATGGAGATCCCCGAGAGGATAACGGAGATCGAGCCGAATCTCCGCGAAGAGGAGCGGAAGAAGGTAAGAGATGCGAGGGTCGATTATTAACTCTGGATATTATTTTCAGCGGTGCCCGAAGGTCGCTGCAGGGATACCGAGGTGCTCGGCGACGGCGTGCAGGGGCTCTCGTCTCTCCAAACTGCAGCGGAGGAGGACCCTGATGCCCGTCTCGACAGGGAGCCGCACTTTTGGATAATTACCGAAGAGACTCTGCGTATGTCAGTCGTTGGCGTGCATCGGGATCGTTTCTTGGACCGCGAGGTCCACCAGGGAGCAGCCCCCCGTTCGTGTCTCCGCGTTGCGTGTTTCCATTTGGCCGCCTCGATCTCCCATGTCCGCGGGCCGTCCTGGCGGAATCGCAGGTGAGGGCGGCAGAGTTTAATGGAAACGGCAACAAGTAACGCCATTAAAAGCGGGGGAAGCTGCGCGGAATCTCCGCCACGAGGCGCGACTCCGAAGGTCCATTAGGAGGCCGCATTAGTTCCGCGAGCGGATCGCGTTAAAAACCCACCCGCGACCTTACTCCTCGCTTTTATATGCATGTTGCATATTCCGCAGATGCCGAATACTTCCCACCTCTCCCGAGAGGTGTCGCCGAGGTCAGAGTCGACTTCTGCACCCGCTGCTTATTTGCGCATTGGAGGCCCCTCCACTGCTGAACTGCGATTCGCAGAGTCCTCGACAATGGACTCCAGGATCCGGATCGGAGGCGCGACAAATTAGCTCGGACCGGTAGGGACTGGTCGGAACAATGCCGGGAATTTTGCCCCGTCATACGGCGGAGAGGAGCGCGATGCCCTGGGCCCCTGCACCACGTCAGCGCGATTCGACTCATCAATTACCCTGCCCGGGGTTACGAGGATCGGCTTAATTACAATTATGCGATCTGCGCAGGCGATCGATTGTTGCGCCGCACGAGGCAACCTGCTGCAGTCGGCGAGGTCTCTTTTGTGTGCTCCTCTTAGCCTCTTCATTTTTTTCCTCTCGCTCTCTATCTCTCTCCGTAGGGCCTCGCCGATGCACTTGCTCGCCCCCGGAGACGGTTCACAATTATTTATAATTAATTTAACAGTCCCGCTTAAAAATGTACATTTAGATTTAGGATTAATTAAGTTCTGTAAGAAGTGCCGAGCGATGCATCGACTGTCAATCCCGACAATTGCGCTGCAACAATTACAGTTGTTGCAGCGCTTTTGACACTCGCAAGACCGCAGCTAGTCGCGCGATTACCAATCGCGAGTTTTACGACTAATTACCATTTATTGCTCGGCACCTGTTGCCGAGGGGTATTCCTAAGGAACTCCCGTGTTGATTAACATTTATATGGCTACCAGATAATCGTCCGAGTCTGCGAGGATCGTTACGCATTGATCTACGAGACAATTGAAACGTCCTGCGGGAGCCCAAAGGATTGGCATCTCGCGCCAACGATCGCTAATCGACATTATTGCAAATCGAGATGGGAATTTCGCGCGTGGGTGGCGAACGATGGCTTTTGTTGGAACGATTTCGTGCCTGGTGGAGTTAAACAAACCGATCCTATTATAGATACCAGTCTTGATACCCCCGCGATATTCTATGACGCAAAAGTGTCTCCCTTCTCTTTTTAATTTTTCAAATTAAGGTACCGAAAATAAATACCGGGGAATTGCTTCTCTCCTCTTGTTTTAAAAAATCGTCCCGGATAAGAGAGGCGAATAGAGGAATTTTATATTCATTCTCAGGCGGCATAACAAATTCCTTGTTTTTTAGAATATGAAGACCGGAACGGAGCTGCGGCCAGGATGACTGCACTTTGTTGCAGGGACCGGACTGCACTGTCTTATGGATTCTGACAAGGATCTTGTCGAGCGGCGTACATCACTAAGGAGTACGAGCGGTAAGTTAAAATTATTATTCAGCGCTAACGACGCTAGGGGATAAGGAGAGATTGTTTACGATGGCAGTAAGTTGGCCATTGTTTGTTCGGAGGAATATTGTCTCTCTATCGTTTGCTTTATGGTCAGCCCATTGTCCGCAAGAGGGAGAGAGAAAGAGCGGAAGTCGGAGCCCAGGATGGCGTCTAAGGGCGAGCGAGCGAGAGAGAAGGAGAGGGGGAGATCGAGAGATCGAGATACCTCCGAAATCGGTAGTTTAAATCACTGTTATATCCCAGAAAATCCGCGAAGAGAGCTCGAGGAAGATTTTCAAAGAGTCTCGCCCAACTTTAATCAAGTCCCGAGCACTGATAAAAGTCAATGGAAATTTGCACACATCTTTACTCATGTTAAATGCGATGTTCCAGAGCCAATGTAATTTCACCGCAATTTATCGTGGCATCGAAATAACCGATGATTGAGTATGCTAATTTACATAGGCATTTTTATCAGCGATGGCAAACCGCGCCATTTTGCCTCTTTTAATGAGCGAGCCATTAAACGAGGCGGTTCCTCTAAGCTTTTTATTAAGTCGAATTAAATTCAAAGAACGATTCTCCTCCTAATTGCACGGTGTATCCCGTAAGGGCTCGTCGAGTGTCCCTTTGTTTTAGATTCCAATCTGAAATTCAAGTGAGAGTAAGAGGGACGTCCGCGTCGCCCGCCGAGGGAAGAGTCCGATGATAATTCCGGACTTTTTCCTGGAGTCGGTCGAGCCCCATTGTGTGCAAATGTCCATTAACCTCTCCTAGGCTACTCCTAAAGCGCTCGAGTAACTCATTACCTCTCGTAATTAAGAGCAGACCTCGTAACGGCTCACCGAGACTCGCCATGTCGCGGTACGACGCCAACACCGACGCCGTCCTTACAGGTGGCAGTCAGTAGTCAAGAGCTTCCGTTTCGAAATCTCTCTCTCTCTCCTCCCACATCTGCACCAACGTGAGTGAGATGTTCTCTCCACGTAACCGAGACCATAGTTCACCTCTGATCTAAAACTATTTTTCTAATTTCCGGAGTCGACTCGACATTTCCCCTACACCGAAGAAAAAAGGCAAAAATTCATTGGACCTATTTTGTTAAATCAAGGAATAATTATTTGACTGGAATAAATTGTCATAATTCTGGATAAATGTTGCGTCCGATTTATTCCAGTTTATTTGTGTCGAATAATTATTCGCTGAATCGAAGAAACCCATTATGCTTTGTATTTTTTTGGGGGGAGTTCGTAAATGGACTGATACGTATACGGATTCCAAGATGGCCGGTCGCTCGAGGTGTCCTTCAACGAGGAGCCGCGACTGCGGAGAATTCAGACACGTCTTCCCGGGACATTAACGTCGCCATTGTCTCCGAAGCTGCGGGAAGCTTGTTAATCCAAGTCGGCCAGCCGAGTGACGTATTGCGCCTTCCGGGGCAGACTTCAGGGCTTGGCGGCGCCAGGCGACCGCGTCGGGACGCCTTCTTTTTCTCGGGCTCGCGAAACTAACGCAGGCACCTCCCTGTCTGCCACGCACCCCACGCACGAGCGTAAACGCGCACGAGCTGTTACGCAAAAGCTTCGATTTACCGCGAGGCGATTCGTTTCGCTCGAGGTGACGCCCTCCTTCGAGTTCCTCCTCCGAGGGACGCCGGAGACTTCGACGCCCGGACATGCCCGGTGCCGCCGTCGTGGCGCCCTTCGGGTAGGTCCGCCGATTTATGGGGCCTCGATGCTCGGCGAAGAAGTTGATACCCTCGGAAAAAAAACAAAAAGAGAGATTTAGTAGTAAAAGATTTTCTCCGGACACAGTGCGTCGCGTTTTTCTACGGAAAAATCACGGAGACTTCGACGCTTGCATAAGAGAGACCGCGCACTCTATTTAACATTTGGGGACTTCGATGCTCGCATAGGAGAGATCGCGGTGGGTGAAAAAATTGGAGATTTCGATGCTCGCATAAAAGAGACTGCGTTGTATACTAAAAGAAAAAATGAATTAGAGAGATGCAGGAATTGCGAGTAAGACGATGCGTTCTCCAGGAACTCACGGGGATTTCTTGCGTGCGTCGCGTTATTCGACGGAAAAATCACGGAGACTTCGACGCTTGCATAAGAGAGACCGCGCGCTCTATTTAAAATTTGGGGACTTCGATGCTCGCATAGGAGAGATCGCGCTGGGTGAAAAAATTGGAGATTTCGATGCTCGCATAGGAGAGATCGCGCTGGGTGAAAAAATTGGAGATTTCGATGCTCGCATAAGAGAGGTTGCGTTGAATACTAAAAGAAAAAATTAATTGGAGAGAT